TTAAGTCACTTGCTCAAGATCACAGCTGATGTGTGGTCTTGTCAGGAGTTGAAGCAAGCAGAACGCTGCAGATGGGCCGCTTTTCACCCTTCTCACCCGTGGCAGCTGCAGACAGAGAGCTGAGAGTGGAACAGTCAGCACGGGCCAGGGTGGAGAATCCTGCAAGACCTGAGGACAGATGTCATCTGAGCTATGTGGGAAGAATGACTGCAAGTGCACAGAGGCTGACGGGGGAGGAAAGGCATTCTGGGTGGGGTGGGAACCAGAAGCTTAGGTGGGGGTGCTGGGAGGAGTGTGAAAGCCACAGACCTGGGCCTCACACACTGGAAGTTGTGCGAAGTTGCCTGTGGACGTGGTTAAGATTGGCATGGGAACCTGGTGGTGGACCAGAAGACCCAGGAAGTAAGTTTCTGAGGAGATCCAAACCACTTTTTCCACCAACCAGGACCCACGCTCTCTCCCCCCGACCTGAGAGGGGCTCTAAAGTATCCACAGCGCTTTGGGCCCCAAAGGACCCCCATTCTTATCCCTGGGAAATCTTGATTTCTTTCCGTGAAAGCCTGCCCCACAGGCAAGGGGATGCAGCCCTCCTGCCCTCGTCGAGGAGGGCACAGAGGGGCTGTCCTGGGCAAAGAGGGCTCCTGCAGCCCTGCAAGAACAAGCAAGTCAGGAGAAGACTCTGAGAACAGGCGGCGGGGGGGGGGGGGGGCGCAAAGCGCCCAGAGTGGGGGAAGGGGGAGGAGAGAGAAGGGCAGGGACAGAGAGGGGCAGAGGGGCTGCTTAGCTCTGGGAGCTGGACTGGAAGAGGCCCTAGGTGATGGAGGCCTTCCCCCACCCCTATTTTCCACCACCCTGGCAGCAGGGCAGTTGATGTTTCTCTGCCGGGAATGGGGGTGGGGGTAGTTCTGGGTATGCCTTCTCAGGATCATCCTGCCCAAAACATCAAAATGGGGAAAAGGGTGGGAAAGGCGCCCACTTCAGTTGCAAGGTGGGCTCCAGAGGTTCAGAGAACAAAAAGAACCCTGAAAACCCAGCAGGGTGCACTGGACGCCTCCTCGGAAGATTTGGCAGATCCAGATCCTGAGCTCCCCCAGAACGGTCCTGCCTTCCCTTAGCAGTCCACCTCGTCGCGTGGTTCTCCTTGGACTAGTGTCATCTGCCAGCGTCTGGTCCTGCCATGCTGAACCTCCCACAGCGGGGCCTCCTGAGACCCCTCCCTGCCCCGCTCCCCACCCCCGCGCTCCCCTTCCTCTTCCCTTTCTGCGCCTTAAGAGTTTCCCAAGCCCATTTCTTCTTTTATTTCGCTGCAGCCCCGCGAGGGAGGCAGGATTCTCCCCATTTACCAGATTTGACAGGAGAGAAGCTTGTCGTCCTGGGGCAGGGTCGGGGGGGGGGCGGGAGGAGGTAAGTGAAGAAGCCAAGGTCACCCAGTCATTGGCGGAACGCAGCCTCAACCCAGCCCTTCTACGGGCCGGCTGGAGCCCGGCAAGGTGGGCCCAGGCTGCTGGCCCGAGCCCCTTCTTTTCTCGGCTGGCACTCGGGGGAGGGCTGGCCACAATGACAGGTGAGCCTGGATCGGGGACAGTTGCGGGGGGGGGTGCGCTGCGCGGGGCCCCTGGCGCGTGGGCCTTGGGCGCGGCCGCCCCAGCCCGCCTTGGCGCCCGGGCTTCCGAGGGCCAGTGCCCGGAGGCACGACGGGGCCCGCGCCTTTGGCTGGGGGTACTTGGCGCGCCCGGGCCCGCCGGCCAGGCCCCGCCCCCTGGCAGCACGGGCGGGGGCAGGGGCGGCGCCGGCGGAGTGGGGCGCGGGCGCGCAGTGCTCGGTGCGCGCCGCCGCCCCTCCGGCCCAGCTTGCCGGCCTGCCCTCCCTCCCCCTCGGCCCGCTCTCCTCGCCCCCAGCCCTCTCCTGTCCTCGGCCCGGCGGCCCGGCGCGCGGTGGGGCGCGACGATCGCGGCCTGGCGATCAGGGCACGGTGGTCGTGGCGCTCGAGGGTGGCGCGCAAGGCGCGGGGCGCGAGGCCAGACCTGGCGCAGCAGGGCGTGGGGGGCGGGCAGCGGCGGAGTCCCCAGAGGAGAGCAGGGGCAGGGGGGTGCCGAGGTAACGGGCAGGGCCCGGGCGCCCGGCTGCGAGGGGCGGGAGCTCCAGGCGCACCTCGGCCCTGGCCTTGACCGGGCCGGTTACGGGGGCCCCCGTGGCGGCGGGAGGGCGGCGGGCGGGGAGGGAGGGAGGGAGGAGACGGCTGGGCTGGGCCGGGGGCTTGGCCGACGGGGAGCAGGTGGGCGGGGACAGGGGCCCTGCTGGAAGAGGCGCCGCAGCGAGGTGGTGGGCTGCGTGCGCAAACAGGGCGGCCGCCTCCTGGGCCCAGAGAACGGTGAGGCCGTTTGGGTTGGGTGCCCCAGCCCCGAGGGCATGGTTCGGTGTCCAGGGCCCCTGAACTGGGCGCGGGGCACTATTGGGGGAGGGCCCGGCCGGGCCAAGGCGTTGGGGTTCTTGAGCAGACCCAGGAGAAGAGCGTGGCTGGGCCAGAAGCTGGAGTTCCTGGGCAGGGCGCAGCTGGAGGGCGACGGTGGGCAAGGGCGAGCACTTTAAGGGCTGGCATGAGTGGAAGGAGACAAGGAGGGCCCAGAGTTTGAGTTTGAGCACAATTTGGGAGTTCCATGTCACTGGGTAGGTTCCTGAGTCATGAGCTTTGGCGATCACAGAAGTCTTTCCTGGCGACCAGTTCTGAGTGAGGGGAATGAAAAGGGGAGGATTTGGAGAAGTGGTTTGGAGGCTACGTCTTGGGACACCCGGTGCTCTGATGGCCTCCTGTCCCCATGCGAGGGACTTTGGGAGCGATGTTTCAGAGTGCTGTGATTTGGAAGCTTCAGCCTCGGCTGGGGTTAAGGAAGGTCTTTGTGGTGGCCCGTCCCTGCCTTCCTTCCTTTCCAGGCCTTCAGGATTCAGCTGTGTTCTTGGGGGGAGTGGGTTAAAAATTCCTTCGGCCTACAATCAGCCTTACAGTATCAACCAGGGGTAGGAGGGACATGTACATGCGTGACTGCAGCAGCATTCTCTGTCGTGGAGCCCTCACGCTTCCTCGCTGTTGCCATAGCAACGCCCTATGGATGGTGTATTTATAGGGGAAGAAGCAGGCGCTAAATTTTGGGGAAGGTGGGGGAGGCAGCCTCATAGCTGCAGTAGCAGTGATGGTGGCTACAGAATTATTAATGGAGTAGGTCATGCCCTGTGAGCTGTTTGGGGGGCGTTCCTGGCTTGTTTGCAGCTTAAAAATGAACTAATAACTTTGGCAGGTGTGAGGAGAGCACGCATTCGTGGCTATGATCTGTGTGGACATGCACGCACCAAAGTCGGGTGTGTCTGGGACAAGAGGTGGCTATATGTAAGCTGTTATGTAATTTTTCCACATAAAAATGAACAAAAATCACACGGCAGTTCTCTTTGATAGGCAATGAAATGTATGTTTTTCTGTCTTCACTTATTAGTTCAGCCTTTACTCATTCTTTTCAAACCCTGACACAACAGCTCCATTTTTAATTCAATGAAAACCCTTGCTGTTAGGCATGCCACATCCACACCGTCACCATGCATGTGACTGGCATCCCCCCCCCCCCCCTGGAAACCCAGAGATCAGTAATGAAGCAGAATTTTGAGATAAATAGTCCGTCTTCACTCTTAAAACATCAAGGGCCAACTTTTCTTACAATGGTAGACCCATCTGTTGACAGATTCACTCATTGATAGTTTTGGGTGGGATCATTGTGGGGTTCAAAAGAGAAAATCCCCCTTGACATGGTGTTTCCATAGATGGATATTAGATTTGCTGTTTTTCCTTTAGCTTTAATTTTATTTATGATTTATAGCCTACCTGTTTGCCGAAAGGATTAGAAGGTGTATTTGAAGCATACATGAGGTCTGAACACATAAATAGAAAAGCGTGTGCTTTTGCGCTTTTGCGCTGCAAGGGAGAAGCATATGTGCTCAACAGCTGGGCTTGATGGTCAATGTTAACACTGAACTTCCTGGCAGCCTAGGCAAAAAGGGTGGCATGACGGGTTACACTGTTCAGGTGTCTTGCATCCAGTTAAGTCCTAAAACCAGAGCTTCTGCTTGGGGAGGGGGGCAGCGGGGTGATTGCTCCCAGATGTGGACAGCTTGGGCAGAGCTCTGAAATATGTGTGTGAGTGGGAGTGTGTGGTGCGGAGCGCGCTGTGCTGCGGCCACGGTTTACATAGTGGCAGGATGATTCCTGAGCAGGAGCAAGGCTTTTGGACAATAGCTCACATTAGAGGCAACGCTTGCATTGAGTTAGCATCTCAGTTTCAGAAGATCCTCGGTGCCTTATCCGGTGCAGACAAACAGCGGGGCACCTGGGTTTGGTCTGTGACTTCTGAGATGGCTGTTGTTCCCTGCGTTAAGCTTGGTCAGTACCTGCTTCTTCAACGTGTGCTGCCCAATTTCAAGGAACATGCTTGTCATTAGAGGTATCTGGGTCTTGCCATTGTGAGCAAACTGAGTTCCAAAAATTGGGTCCTGTCTCTGTCACTGTTGATGTGCTTGACCTCACGTAATTCTCTGTCTCTCTGAGGTCCTTTCCGACTCAACAGTGCAAAGATCTGTTGAGGGAAGTGAGGAAGGAGGAACCTTGGCCTGTAGGAGGGTTTCTTCCCCCCCCCTTTTCTAAGAATAAAGTCAACCCTTAGGTCTTCTACACTCTCTGAATCTGTTCATGGGGCAAAGAGCTGGAAGGTTAGCTTTGGGCTCTGCTGGGCCTCAGGGAGCTCTGGGAAGAGAGCCTGGGGAAGGATAGGAAGCTGTGAGTGGCACAGGGGGTGACCTGTGTCATGAGGTGCTCCTTTGGCCTTTGACCAGGCCAGCGGGGGTGGGAGTCACGTCCCAGGGCCAAGGGGGTGCCCTGTAGGCTTTGGGCTGTGATTTCATTGTGACTCTGCTTTTTTCCTTTGCCAGGCAAGTGAGACGCTGGGTCTGAGGGAGGAACAATGGCAGGTGAGTTTGCCAGGGCCCAGGCCAAGGGGTGAGGGGCCATGCCCAGGGGCTCACAGGAAAGGTGCCTGTTCACTTTTCTTTCTTTTTCTTTTTTAAGATTTTATTTATTTATTTGACAGAGACACAGGGAGAGAGACCACAAGTAGGCAGACAGGCAGGCAGAGGGAGAGGAAGAAGCAGGCTCTCTGCCGAGCAGGGAGCCCAATTCGGGGCTCGATCCCAGGACCCTGGGATCATGACCTGAGCCAAAGGCAGAGGCTCAACCGACTGAGCCACCCAGGCGCCCTGCATGCTCGCTTTTCAAGTCCTTTCCAGCTTGCTTGTCCCCAGGGTGACCTTGTAGATGTACACCTGCCCAGGCCGCTATGAGAGAAACTAGTATTACAGGCTGTGGGAAAGGGCACCTGCTTTTTGGTAAAGCCCTGCCTGCCTGGGCACCCTGCAAGGGGCTGGTTGACAGGAGAACTAGCGCAGGTTTACAGAGGCATGTAGAGCTGACACCATGCTGGGTGGCTGGACCGTAGCTGGGTCCCTCCCTTTGGAATAAGTAGATGTGACCAGCATTCAGTGACATTTTTGCAGGAAGCATCTGTGCGGTCTACGAAGGCTTAGATTCTCCACATAGATCCTGCTACCTCCTTCCCAGAGGCACTCTCAGATTTGTATGCACCCAATGCCCTGATCTAGCCCAGACTGGGTTTGTACTAGATTGTCTGGGGCCGGACTATTGATGATGGCACAGGTGGCCCTTCAGGTGGAGGGACGCCGCCCTGGTAGAGTCATATGGGGTGATTTGTTAAGTGGTCACCAGCAGCGTGCCCTTCCCTCTCAGTCAGATCCTATCTTCCTCCATAACAGCCGAGGCCCGAGTCTCCTCGGGTCGGTGGTATTCTAAGCTGACACGTCATGGCGTCGGAGAAAGTCAGCCTTATCTGGGGTGGTGTCCTGCTCGCCGACTTTGTCTTGCTTCCCTTCCTCATTATGCTTCTGTGTCTGGGCTGAGCCTGGTTTGAAGGAGCCCCTGGGCCCCTGCCCACACTCCAGGCCTCAGTGCAGGTCTCTCCTCAGTGTTTCTGGAGGCCAAGAATGCCCATTCGGTCCTGAAACGGTTCCCTCGTGCCAATGAATTCCTGGAGGAGCTGCGCCAGGGCACCATCGAGCGCGAGTGCGTGGAGGAGGTCTGCAGCTACGAGGAGGTCAAGGAGGTGTTCGAGGACAAGGAGAAAACGGCACGTACCGCCCCGGGGCCGGCTTCTGGGGGCACGGGCAGCCTCGGGAGTAACAAGAGCAGGCCCTGGTATCTCAGGCCAGTCAGAAACAATGAAGGAAAGAGAGCCCAGCCTCAGGCCGTAGGAGGACAGACAACATGTCCTTAGGGTCCCAGCTGCCCGATTCTGAGGCCTCTTCACTTGGGAGCACTGTCCTTTGTCCCGGGTGCATTCCAGAGCCTCTCGGGTAGCCGAGAGGCCGGTCAGATGGGGCGGGCGGGGGGCCGCCCCAGGCCCTGCTGAACTTGCCGGACTCGCCGCCGAAGGTCTCTGAGGTCCAGCTGGGGCAGGAGGTCTTGCATGGAAGTGTAAGCGGCCCTTCTTCTTTTGTAGATGGAGTTCTGGAAGGGGTACCCGAATGCAGTCTACTCAGTCCGAGACCCTGCACAAAGCTCAGATGCCATGTACGTGGTGGTGCCCCTTCTGGGGGTGGCGTTGCTGATTGTCATTGCCCTGTTCATCATCTGGAGGTGCCAGCTGCAGAAAGCCACCCGTCATCACCCGTCGTATGCTCAGAACCGGTACCTAGCCAGTCGCGCCGGGCACAGCCTCCCCCGGGTCATGGTGTACCGGGGCGCTGGGCATAGCCAGGGGGAGTCCTCTGGGCACCGTGAGGCGGGGAGCAACGCGCAGGTGGTGCTGGGGCCCAGTCGAGGGGGCAGAACCACGGTTCGCCTCGAGAGCACCCTCTACCTCCCTGAGCTCTCTCTCTCCAGGCTGTCCAGTGCCACTCCTCCCCCATCCTATGAGGAGGTGACTGCGCCCCAGGAGAGCAGCAATGAGGAGGCGAGCATCTCTTACAGCGACCCACCCCCGAAGTATGAGGAGATAGTGGCCACCAACCCTGGCTCGGACAAGTAGTAGGACTTTTGTCCTGTCCGGAGTGAAAGCCTCTTTAAGGGGGGGGGTCTCCTATTATTATTATTATTATTATTATTATTTATTTTTTTTTTTTTTTACTTTTTAAAGACTGTGCCACCACAAAACAGCCTTAGCCTCCTGTTGCCAAATAATTTCCTAACCGTGGATTTGTAGGAAGTCAGTTGTCAGAGACAGGTGGAGGGGGCGGGGGGGGGTAGAGAACACACATTCGTCAAAGCCCCTGGGGAGAGCCACAGGCTAGAGAGCCCAGCTCTTCCCCAAACCCCCATGCTCCCGCCATCCTGTCCTCCCATCAGGAACTGGCTTCTCTTATGCCAAAGGTATTACCCCATTGAGTTGATTGTGGCCAGAATGTCCATAGGCTCAGGCCCCAGGGCCACGCAGCTGGCTGGAGACCTGTCTCCGTCTGGAAGCCTAGGCCACGGAGATGAGGGAGAGAAGCTAGCCCTTCAGCAAACCCCTTTTCCTCAACAGTCCTGTGCTTTCTGTCTTTGCTTACATTTTGAGCACAGGGACAAGGACGGAACAACAACAACAAAGGGTAATAACAAATGAGTAAGTGACCAACACAATAAAACAAAACAATATAACCTGGGCCATTCATAGGGGACCGAGGGAGATCAGATCTGTGATACTCCCCTGCCCCAACACCCACGCTGCTGACCACGTTAAAAGGAATATCTAGAGCAAGCTGGAAGGAGGACAGGGTGTGTGAAGGATGAGGGGCAAGGGCGTAGCTGCTGGATTGAGTGAGAGGCCTCTGTGAACTTGGCCATCCTGGAGGCTAGCTCTGGTTCTAGTGTGCCTGGCCTCCTGAAGACCTTGGCTTTCTAGACATGGGTACCAGCTGTGCTAAAACTGCTACGCACTGGCCTGAGCCCAATTACAGCACTGAGAAAACTAACGCTGGTGACCCTGCCTGGGGAGCCCGTGGCCTCTGAGTGGTTGAGGGTACGGGCTGGGGCAGAGAGCTGAAGTTTTCTCCTACAGAGGTTGATTGGCCCATGGAATGACTAAACCCATGAACTTGGCCTCCTCAGCACTGTGCTTTCTGGCTTTGAACTTTTAGGATACTTCCTTTTTCGTGAGCAGGTGCAGAGTTGAACTTGAACTTCAGATGACTGACTTCTCCTTAATAATGGTGCCCACCTGGGGAAAAGATCCTGAAGTGTCCCTTTTTAGAAATTTCTTGGCAGGGGAGGTGGGGAAGCCTGTGACGTGGGGTCGAAGGCCCATTCAGGGTTTGCTGTGTTATTGCCAGGTGCTGGTCCATTTTTAGTAACCCCCTTCTCTGGCCCAGGGGCTGTCCACCTCTGTATTTCAGTGAGGCTTTGGACAGCAGTGGGGCAGAGGTGACCTGCCCTTTAACTGACCGTGACCACGTAAAAGACTCTTGATACCGCTTCCCCTCACCCCCGCATGTCCATCCTTCTGGCCCTAGTGCCAAATCACTTTTCCTCTGTGGTGCTTTAAAAAATGTAGCAAATTTTTGTGGGGTCCAAAAGAGTGCACAGCCAGGGTCTATCGGCAAGCCACTGAGAAGACAAGCTTCTTTCTGTCCAAACACGGCTCTCCAAGACAGGCATCGGGTCTCCTTCTTTGACTGCAACCCTGCCTCGAGGCCACAGATGACTTCTGGAGGCCCCTCCCGTCCTGAGGAGTGGCCTTGGGACATGCTTCAAGTTTAGGAGACTTGTGTTCTTATCCCAGTGAGGCCACCAGCTTCGACAACTTGACCCGGTGCCTGGGGTTTTCCATCCTTCCCACTCCCTCCCAGGCCTATGGGAGGCTGACTGAGCTAATGCCTGTGCAGTTCTTGAAGCACCGGGGAGCTAGTGCAGTTTGCCCTTAAGAAGAGTCTTCTAGAAATGTGTAGCTTATAGGAGACCAGTCTTAGTGGAGGCCCTCATGTGACTCTGATGTTGAGTCTCAACTTGGGGTGTCAGTCTCCTGCCAGTTGACACTTTCTGCCCCCTCCTCCTTCCCCAAGAGCTCCCTGATGCCCGAGGTGCTGACCAGGTGCATTCCCACCTTTCCTTCCTTCCCCTTTTCCTCCCTCCGGGCCTCTAACACTACACTCCTGCCCTTCCTCACAAAGGTATTTTTGGGCCTAGAGAGGCCCCCCTTTTTCCACGACGGAGGCTGTGGTCACTCCTGGTTGGCCATGTTGGAGGACCTGGGGCAACCCGAAGCTCTGGGGCCAGCCCTGCCCTCCCAGCATTTCCTCAGGCAGGTGCCTGCGTGTGACCCGGGAGCATGGGAGAGCCAGGCATGGGCCCCAGTGACCAGAGCCGAAGGGAGTAGGCCAAGGAATGCCTGCTGCCTTTGGCATCTGCTGAGCCCTTCCCTGCCAAGCTGGGTGGAGATGGGAGGGAGAGGGAAGCAGGAGCCTGGCCCGGTGGAGGACAGCACGTGTTGTGTCCTTCAGGCGCCGAGCGAGGGCCTGCAGAGACGGCGCACAGGCAGCTCCTAGGGCCCTGTGTTCTGTTAAGGTGCTTCGCAGGATTCTTCCAGGTGGGCTTGCCACCGTGGTCTCTGGGACGTTTTTTGCAGTATATTGTAGGAAAAAAAAACTGTACAGTACACAATGGTCATAACTCCTCGCGGTGCACATTTGGCTTTTACGAATGCTCTGTATATATCTTTTCAAACTCTGTCTTTGTATGGACGTTGGTTTGATATGTTGCTGAATCTGTAGTAGCCACATTTTTGTTGTTTTTGGACTTTGTGTGTGTGTGTGTGTATGTGCGTGTGCCTGTACACGTGTGCACGTTGCCTTTTCTCATATGCTTATCTGAAACAAGAGCCGGTGTGTGGCTATATTTGTACCAGGAGGGTACCAGTCTGAAGGGAGGAATGTCACCTCCTGGGGCTGGACAGCCTTTCGACAGGGCCCTGAGGGAGGAAAGCTGAGAGATTAGCTGTCCAAGCCCCGCAAAGTCACCTTCTGCCCCCACTTCACAAAAAGTTTTGGGAGAAGACTAAGGCTTTTTTTTTTTTTTTTTATATTTTGGTGGGAAAAAATGTGTGACTATTGACTTTGGGACTGGTGGGGCTAGTTATTCAGATATTTTTCACTAAGGAAAAAAGAGAAAAGGCTTTAAAAACCTTTTTAAGACTTTTTAAATGAGAATCGCAAACCCGTCCCTCCACGCTGCTCCCCATAGCCTGGGGTTTTCAAGATGAAAGCACAAGAGAAAGAGTGAAGCGCACGGGTGCCCAGCAACATCTAGCAGGCTGACCTGGAGGCCAGGAGCCTCCTTTTCTGCTTGTGAATCCCACTGCCATTAGTGTGAATTCCTTAGGGTGCTTGGGAAAACAGGAGTCTGCCCGGTGGGTTGGATGTGGCCTTTCGGGTGGCCTGACTATGAGGAATTCGGGACAGGAAAGTGTCTTTTTGTTAAGGAGTTGGAGCCAGATGGTTCCTCTTTGGCTGCGGGTTGATCTTTTGACAAACAAATGGTATCCCATGAGAAGAAGGAAAAAACAACACTGCCTCTAGATTGTTTTTTTGTCTGGGGGTGGAGGTGGGGAAGGGGGGGGGTCCTATTCACCTACTCTCTGTGTTTCTAGGAGTGTGCCTGTGTGCTCTGTCTTGCATGTGCTCTCATGTTCAAGGCCGAAATGGAGAGCTGGGCAGCAAAGCTTTTCGGCTTGACAAGTAATGAAGCTCCATTTCAGGATTGTGCCGATTCAGAAACAAGCACATCCTCCCCACTGAACTCTGCTCATACTAATCAGTATAATTAGCTAATTTCAAAGTACTGTAATCAGACTGCCTGCAACCATGGTAAAAGCCTATTAATCTGAAGCCCACTAATTCAGAACTTATAGAAAATCACAACTTAAGATAATTCATGGTATCTGCGATTCTTGCTCTGTAGAAATATTTGAAATATTCTTCACTTTAGTCAATTTTCAGGGTCCTGTGTGTAAGAGGGATCTAGTTAAAATGAGCACCTTTTTCAAATAAAAGGCTCAAGATATCAGGGATCCCTTCACCGTGCCTTCAGCTTTGGGGTTCAGCAATTCTCGTGTGTAAGGCTCTTTCTGCGTGGGATGGTCTCTTGGTCTCTCTCCATTGTGGGAAGGGTGGGTGCTGCAGGTTTTCATTCTCCTAGCCTACAATTTAAAGTAACATAACTGTGTATCTTGCTAAATATTCTGTAAAGCAGATGTTTTGCTATCAGACTGGCCACTCCCATCATTCGCCCCCAAATATTAAATGTAGGGAGGTTTTCCTTTCACAGGCTGTGGGCGGTGAGTCTCTCTCTAGCAAGAATTTCTCTGACAAGGATATCCAAACACTGTACTGAGACATCTGACCGTTGAACGGTGCCTGCCCTTCCCCCACCCTCAGCCTGAGCATTAACACAGATATTCAAGATTGGAACAAATCCCACAGCTGCTTTCGCCTCCCGATCTGTCTGTCTCCCCTTCTGGATGCCACTTTCCCAGGCCTGAACACACCTGCTATTTCACTCTGTGATTGTGAATTTGTGACAGTGGAAACCCTGATATGTGCAACTGAGCTTATAGACATGATTACTGTGAAATGGATTAATTTTGGCACCACTTTAAACTGTGCTTGTATTCATGTGTTGACCCGTGTCAGCTGGGAAATCTGTACCTTCAGTAGTATGTCAGGATTTCACTGGAGCCTGGGAGCAACCAACATACTTGCTTCTGATTCTCTCTCTCTCTCTCTTTTTATAATTGTTGAGTTTAGCTGTTAAATTTCGTCTCTTTCTGTACAAGAAGATAATTAATAATAATAAAGAGTACATGGCATTCACTTGTGTCCTGTCCTCATCAGTCTTGGTTCCCTGCTGACTCCCAAACTTTCACGGGGGGGAATGGATGGTTGTGGGCCAAACTTGCTTTTCCCAAAAGTCAGACTGTAGATAAGGAAACAGCCCAAACCAGTTTAGAAGCAGGAAGCGGAGATGTCCTGGGTTCTAAAGATTATCCTCATATGT